GTTGGTTTCCCACCCGGATGCCCCGCGGTTGCCCCGCTTTAGTTATAGGGACCTGGACCTGACGGCGTTAGTTGGTTCGACTTTGGTTCAGTCTGCGCTTGCTGGTCCTTTTCCTGTTGTTTATCCTGCACCTTTCCCCGTTTCCGGCTCCCAAACGTCTGAAGGTTTTGGAGTCGGAGCAGGGTTTAGTTGGTAATGAGATTCAGGCAGTTTCGGGGGCTGCCCTGTTCGGGTTGGGGACGGAGGCATTCAAGCTGGTTCCTCCTGCCGAGGCTTCTGTGCAGCAGAAGCTTTTCCTTCTCGTCAGTCTTTCCCCTGGATCCTGCCTTTTCGGGGTAGAGGGTTTGGAGGACGGTTCTGCCCCGGGTCCCGATGTGGGGGATCCTGGGGCTGGGGAGGAGTCAACCTGGGGGCCTTGGGCCCCCTTTGACCCCGCTTGGGTGCTTTTGCCTTCCTCGCGGGGCTTATTGTTGCAGGAAAAGGGATTTTTTTACCCCCCCTTCCCTTTATGAGTATGATTTGGGTTCGGCTTCTCCCCGGGTTCGGTTCTGGGCGCCTTTGGGTACCTCGGATCTGTTTTTCCAGAGGTTTTCTACTTCCCGTATCTCCGTGAAGGTGGCTCGGGAAGCTCTTGCTGCATGCCTCTTGCGAGACCCGGGTTATGCCTCTGCAATGGATCCATCCTCGTTTGAGTTCGGTTCTTCTTCCCATTTTTGGGTGCGTTTGGAGGTTCTAGAGTCTTCCTGGCTGGCAGACTGCCCTTTCTTTTCGTTACAGGTGTGGTATGGATTCTTTCGGACCCGCACGCTTGATTGGCGGGAAACTTCTACTTTTATGCAGGTTTACCTGGGGGGGAGTTTGAGCTCCTTAATGCGTACTTGTTCGCTTGAGTGCTTTCTCGGGATGTTGGCCTTTTCCAGCTTCACGTGCAGGTTCCTCAGCTTTCGGCTTCGTTGGTTGCGGAGGAGTCTTCGATAGCTAGGGCGTTGGCTGCACTGTTGAAGCTCTTTGTGCCCATCCTGAAGGAAGCGGTATCTCTGTTTTTTGCTTCTTGCCTCGCGTGCCATCAGGTGGTGCTCGCCCTCTCTTTGGAATCTGCTTGGGCCCTGGCTCTTAGGTTTTTGTCTCCGTTTTGTCCGTTGCTGTTTGCAGAGACTGCAGTCTCTCAGTTTCTGCACGTGGCTTCATCTAGTTGTCGTCCTATGGCGGACTTGTTGATTCTCCGAAGCGGTCGTTCTCGGCAGTTTCGGAGAGGTCATGCCAAGGTTCCGGTTCAGCTGGTCGAGGTGGGCCATTGGTGACAGTTTCTGAGCCGTTGTTCCCTTAGGGGGCCAGTGTCGCCTGGGCGGCACAGTAATCGCCCTGTTTGACGTTTGAGTTCTCGTCAGGGATGTCAGCCCTTTCGCAGTTTACCCCATTGACAGGACAATCGGGGGGAGGCTCGGTCTGTTTGCCCACACTTGATCCCACGATTTGTGGGCCTTTTCGGTCGTGTCATCCGGCCTGCGGTGGCGTTGGGTGACTCGTCCTCCTTTGGGGGTTCAGGGCTTACAGGGCAGATTTCTTCTCCTGCGCTTCATCAAGTCGTCTTGGAGTGGGTGCGCTTGGGCGTGGTCAAAACGACTACGTCCCTCAGGTGAGTTTCCCGTCTGTTTCCGGTGCCGAAACGGGACTGTGCAGATCTGAGGTTCATTCTAGACTTGTCCCGTCTGAACCTCTGGATTCCTTGCCCCTCCTTTCAGATGACTACTCTGTCTCAGGTCCGGCTTCTGTTGGAGCCGAGTGCCTGGATGGTGTCACTGGACCTCAAGGATGCCTATTGGCACGTTCCTATTCATCCAGGGTTCAGGGGCTGGTTAGGTTTCGTGGTGGGGCATCACACTTACCGTTTTCGATGCCTTCCTTTTGGCTTGAATCTGGCACCTTGCGTTTTCACGCGTCTGACCCGGGTCGTGGTGACTTGTCTGCGTCTTCTAGGGATTCGGGTTTTGACCTTCCTTGACGATTGGCTGGCATGGGCTCCCAGTCGGTCAGCTTATCTGCTCGCCAGGGATATGGTTCTTTCCCAGCTCGCCAGGTTCGGGTTCCTGGTGAACTGGAGGAAGTCCCATCTGGTTCCGTCCCAGGTTCGGACCTGGCTGGGTCTTGTTTGGGATTCTCAGACTGCTTCCTTGTCTCTTCCTCCAGAGACGTTGCGGCGGCTGCGGGATTGCCATCGGCTGTTTCTGAGGGGGTCCCGGGTCACTCGGCGGTTGCTCGAGCGGTTGTGCGGGAGTATGAACTTTGCCGAGCTAGTCTACCTACCTGGTCGGGTTTGGTTTCGGCCTCTGTTTTGGTTCCTTCGGAGACGTCCCTTCCTCCACTCTCGCGATCATTGGGTTCGTCCTCCGGGGGGCCTTGTGTCAGTTGCTGCGTCACCTGCTTCCTTTTTGGGGTTGTCAAGGTTCAGTGCCTTGGCGTCTTCCCGAGCCCTCACTCGATGTGTTCACAGACGTGTCGTCTCTCTGCTGGGGCTTTGTGACCAGTGCTCACCAGGCAGGCCAGGGACGGTGGGGTCCGTCCTTCCGTCGGGCTCACAGCACGGTTTGGGAGTTCGTGGCAGTCTGGTTCGCTCTTCGGAGGGTTCGGGTTGCTCGGGGATCGACCATTTGCCTCCATTCGGACTGTTCTCCTTTGGTTCAGCCTGAACTGCGGGGTTCTCTTCGGTCCTTGGCTCTTTAGGGTTGGTCCCTTCGAGTGGTTCGTCTGCTGGATTCTCAGGGTTTGGCTCTCCGTGCGGTTCATGTCCAGGGAGTGTCCAACGTTCTGGCGGACGGTCTGTCTTGCTTCCATCCCCTGTCCACGGAGTGGACGATCGACGACAGCTCTTTTCGTTGGATCTGCCAGACGTATGGTCTCCCAGATGTGGACCTCTTCGCGTCGGCGTGGTCTCGGCATCTCCCAATGTATGTGACGTCCTTCCCCGACTGTGAGGCGTTCGTGGTGGATGCCTTTCGGTAGGACTGGTCAAAGTGGGGTTACCTGTACCTCTTCCCCCCGGTCCAGCTGTTGCTTCGGGTTCTGGTTCGATTGGAAACATTCCCAGGGAGAGTAGTCTTTGTGGCCCCTTGGTGGCTGGCCCATCCTAAGTTTCCGGTGCTATTGGCTCGGTACCCGAACCCGGGACGTTTCCCACGGCTCCGCCTCTTTCAGCAGGTCGGCCCGGTCTGGTACGGGGCTGGTTCGACCTTCTCCTCTGCTCTTCGCGTCTGGTCTTTTTGACGTGGGTGTATCACCAATTCTATGGTGATCAGGTGGCTTTGTTGATGGTGTCCCACCTGAGAGCTTTGTCTCGGCGACAGTATGAAGTTTCCTTGGGGTCTTTTTGCCATTTTCTGGCTCTTCGTAGGTTGTCTTTTCTTTCGGTTCGGGTTGTCTTTCTTTCTTGGCTTTTTCAGGACCGTCATTTGATGCATAATACTGTCGCCTCGTATTGTGAGGCGCTGGTGGAGCCGCTCAAGCTAGCGTTCGGGGTGGACGTCACATCCGCCCTGTTTCGTAAGCTTTCCTGTGCTACGTTTCACCTCTGGCCTGCTCATGCGCTTCCTGAGCCGTCCTGGTCCTTGGACAGGGTGCTCTCCTATCTTTCCTCTCCTCGGTTTATGGTGGCCCCTTCGGTTCCGGATTGTTTTTCCAAGGCTTTGTTTTTGTTGGCATTGGCCTCTGGGGGCCGGGTATGGGGGCTTCATGCTCTCCTTCGGTGTAGGGGTTTCTGCTCTTTTGGTCCTGGGGGGTAGATTTGTCCGTTTGCAGCCTTCTCCATCTTTTCTGGCGAAGAACGAGACGGCTACTTTCTGGAGGGGTCCGTGGGTCATTGATGCTTGGTTGGTTCGGCCGGGGGTGCATCATGTGTTGTGTCCGGTTGCAGCACTTCTCCATTACCTGCACGCTTCAGCTGGGGTGGCTGGGGATGCGCTTTGGGTTGATCCGGTTTCTCTCGTTCCCTGTTCCAGGGCTCGGGTCTGCCAGGTTGTCTGCAGGGTTATTAAGTCTAGCCAGCCTGCGGTCTATCCTCGCACCCATGACGTTCGGAAGTTTGCAGCTTTGGCTGCCGTGCTTGGTAACATGTCTTGGGCACATATTCGGGCGCGTGGATTTTGGAAGTCGAACAGAGTCCGGGCCGCCCGTTATTTGGTAAACGTCCCGGCTCCTCGGCATTCTTGTGTTGCTGTGTGTCGCAGGTTGCAGCCAGTTGTCTCGACTTCGCGTTGAGGAGTTTGTGGCCGCCGCCTCCCGGGTAAGTCCCTATTTTCCTTCTCTTTGGGTATGTAGCTCCAGGGAGCCGTAGGGGCTCCCCACAGAAAACCAGCGTTGAATGTAATGAAACGCCATTTTCTGGGTGAGCCCCGGAGGCTCCCTGGCTTCCCCTCCCTCCCATCCGGTCAGCGTTTTTTTTTCGCGTTGGTTGAAGCCTAGTTTCCGAACTGAAGCCAGCCGGCGCGGTGAGGTCTGGGGCCCCCCTTCCCCTCCCGGGGAGGGGAGGGCTGCTCGATTGATCGGCGCGGCAGTAAATTGATTGTTTCCTTGGGATTGTAGGGAGTTTTGTTTTTTGTTGTAGTTTCTTACCATGTGCGGTTTGTTTTGTTATGCCTACCTTTTTGGGTGCCTAACCCCAGTCAATGGCAGATAAGGAAAACCCCCAACCGTAATGGGATTTTCCAGGGCAATTGTTCCCTGAAACCTCTCTAAAGGGGCCAGGTTCTAGCGCTGGTCCCTGGTAGGTCTGAACTCCATAGCTAATGTCCTGATCTAACATGACATACATTAGCCCGATAAGCTCCAGGGAGCCTCCGGGGCTCACCCAGAAAGTGGTGTTTCATTACATTCAACGCTGATTTTTTGTAATGTATTATTTTATGATAATTTGTCATAATTGACAATTTGCTTTGGATGTAATAAAATTTCTGTTGTTATAAGTGTCGTTTCAAGTTCATCTATGTTTGACTTGTTTTTATTTTTAGATTTGCGATATATGGAGTTCCTTGTGTGTGTGAACCCAAGATCAATGAAGGATTTCTGTTTGATCTGCAGCATTTCAAACCAGGTAATATTAAGCTAATTGCATCATTATCCAATTAATTTTAATCAGGGGGAAAGACAGACTTAGGTCAAAAATTAAAGTGCTTGTTATAATGTTCTGTATAAGTGTTCTTGGAAAACAACACTAAAAGTGCAGTTGCATTCCTGGATTAACTTGTTTAGATTGCATTCTTGGATAACTTCATTCTGAGTGAATTTGTTCACAGTTTATTTTATATTTGGGAAATTTAAGATATACTGTATTCTAAAACCTCCTCAAGCCAGCTGCTTAAAGTCCACTCTGCTCCTAATAATACACCTACCAGACCATTTTTACTAAATATTTTAATTACATTTCAGTCACAAATACACTACACAATGAAGTGTAAAATATTGAATGGTTCAAGCATGTAATCCAGAAAGATTCTAAAACATAAGCTAATTGCGGGTACTGACAAAGTTTTAGTAAGGTATTTGGGTAGTGAATCTAAATTTTCACTTCCATTATCCAAACCTGCGCAGAAAAAGGGCCACCCATGCTGTACAATGCTACATGCCCTTGCTATTCATGTGGGATATATTTGTGAGACATCCATGAAAGCTAAACTAAATTTATGGGAGAAAGGATAATAGGTTTGCTGTTACAAAAAATAGCCACATTTTTGGGAGGGCTTCCTTGGGTTCTTCCTGGTGCTAGCCAACCTTGCATGTTAGAATATCACCTAGTGCAGACCAGAAGCCACTACCTGGTCCACTCGAAGAGATGCAGGGAAAAAGGAATACTAGATCAATTAAACCAAGAGAAAAAGCCACCTGAAAGGTAGAGCAAGCCAAAATAAAATAACTGCTTAGAATTATTAGCAAACCTGACAACAAGGAATACAGTAAATTGTCCACCACAATAAACGTGGATAAATTCTTTCACTCACTTGAGCCCTAGGAGCCTCGAACCACTGACCTCAAGAGATGTAGAGCAGCTCTATCAACCATACTACTGAACAGCCAAAATATGGAAGAATTCCAGAAGCACCTAACTGCTCTTCAACTGGAACGTTGAGCCTTTCCGGGTTACCATTCAAGCATGGACGAATTAGGTGATCCATGTCCCAGTCATATTAATTGTCAACCACAATAAATGTGGATAATAACATTTCATTCACTTGGGCCCCAGGAACCTTGAATCACCAACTTTAAGAGTGGGAGATGGTAGTTCTATTAACCACATTGTTCATTAGCATGGTTGATAGAGTTACTGTCTCCCGCTCTGGTAAGACATTGTGCGGAGTTTGATGCTCTTAGGGGCCAAAGTGAAAGAAATGTTATTATCCACCTTCATTGTGGTTGTCAATTTATATGACTGGGGCATGGATCACCTAATTCCTCCTTGCTCGAGTGCCAACCCAGGGAAGGCTTAACACTTTCGCTGGCCTGGTGGGGCACCCAAATTGCACCAAAAGGTAGGCCGAGCATTCCCGGTGAGCACACAACCCAATGTTAAATTCATTCACTTACAATGTTTATACTTAACACTTTGCCGCTACCGGCCTATTGAAAAAAAGCCATACCCTAGATGCTTTCGGTGTTTCGAGCGCTTACGCGGCAAGACAGAAAAGTGTATACTCTTTTGACTGTACTGACACTAATTGTTGGCATACGTATTTAATTTTTGTGTCACTGTGCTCGCCATAGAATTGTCTATAGAACGTACCTATAAAATGCCTCGAAAACATAAGGTATATCAACACCAAACAAAGAACTACTGAGATCACTAGCCGAGAGTGTCAAACACCAACAAAATGTTTCTACTCTCTTCATGGTTGTGAAGCCCACAGTTGTGCTACAGCATTAATTTTGGTATCACTGAAATCGCAATAAAATTCTCTACACGGACATATGCATATAAATATAGATTCAATGTTGTAGCCCACCCAAAACAGTGTGGAAAGTGGCTGAAGTGTTACCCGCGGCGGCATATCGGCGAAACCTGCATTGAAAAGTGTATATTCAATTCACTGTCCTAACATTATTTTTCGATGTACGTATTTAATTTTTGCACCAATGTGTTCGCAATAGAATGTTCTAGAAGAACATAAGTATAAAAGGTCACATAAGGATGCGTTCGACCGGCAACATATATAAAAACTACGTCGATTATACTCGTCGTGTCAATAATACAATTGTTTTACCACGATGATTCACTGCCACACCGTTCTCTTTAATAAGCTGTTCGGCTATTAGAGAAAACGTAAGTTTCATGGCAAACTCTTGAAAATTATCCCCAAGTAGATCGGATAATAAATGGAACTTATACAAATACTTTTTCTCGTGACTCTTGAGCGCGGCACGCCAGCGTAGTCAGTAGAAAAATTGTTGACGACGCTGAGATCACCAAAGCAGGAAAGTGTTAATAATAAGACATTGCAAAAAATTTTGCATAGGGACGTTTACGTCATCAGGAATTCTGCATGTTTTGGTTTTATGACGCATATTGTGGCATCAGGGAGAGAAAGTATTAAGTTCCAGCTGGGCAGCAGTTACATCAGGGGTGGGCAAAATTTCTGATGGGAACCCCTTCGGCTCGCCGGAGCTTATCCAGGCTGATATGCTAATGTCAGACTTTGGCATCAATCATGTGTATGGAGTTCTTTGGGCCTACCGGGGACCACGAGCCAGAACCTGGCCCCCCTCAGAGAGGCATGGGGAGCAATGGCCTATAGAAACCCCCGTGTGGTTGGTAGCATTCTATATCTGCCATCGACCGGGTCAGGCACCCAGAAAGGTAAGCGTCCCAAAACAAACCCCTATTCTGGTAAAAATTTCTGGCAAAAGCCAAACAAGTGAATAGAACTCCCCAAAAAGAAATAAGCAAACGAGCATGATGTCACACGTCGCTGCGCCACTCCCCCCTCCATGGGAGGGGAAAGGGGAAGCCCCAGACCACCACCCGGCTATCCATATGAAGCCGGACAGGAGAAACCGGTCCACAGAAGCCGGACAGGAGACAACTGTCCTCCGATGAGGGCATAGAATCCAGAGCGCAGACTGAAGAAGTCCAGAAGAACTGCAGAGTCGACAGGCCCATGTCTGAATAGAGCAGACGGGAACCCCAGAAGGACGGGGCGGATCGACCACGTCCAATGCACCCACGAAGATGACACAACGAAGCGCAGGGGAAGAAGCCCACCCCGCCAGCCCTGAACCTCCCAAAGGGGGAGGAGCCGTCCACCGTCGCCACCAGAGGCCGGAAGACAACCAAAAGCGCCCACTAACTGCGGGACCATGCGAGAGTCAGCAAAGCAAGCTGCTCCCCCAGCGCCCCATCAACAGAGAAGGGAACAGAGCCCCTTCCGAAAGAAAAAGTATACATACACATATATACATATATGTTATGTATATACACCTACACATACATACACACACGTGCGTATGCACATACACATGTGCACACATACACGTGAAAAGAAAATTACAAGCCGCCGACCAGTGGGCAGAGAGCACCACGCCAGCCAGGCGAAGAAGGCACAAAACTGGATCAAAAGGCCCACCTCGACAACAAAACCCCAAAGTCCCAGCACGACCACAACACGTGCCAAGAACCAAAAAGATCAGTCTGGAAGCCAGGAAGACCCCGGAACCCCAGAAGGCAGAACCAGGTCACACACGAGGAAACAAAGCCCCCCTGAACCCAGAAATGGGGCCCAAGAGGAAGAAACCTCCAGAACGAACCCAAAGGAACCCGGAATCGAACCAGGGGGAACCCAAACCACCACATTTGCCAGCAGAGATACACCACAGAAAAGCAAAGCACAGCCCCCAGACAGAACCCCCCTGGGAAATGGTCAAAACAGACTGAAAACCGAGGGACAAGGTGTTGGAGCAAGCATAACAGACAGGGACACTGAGCCCAAACCCCAGGGCCCAGACCCAAAGCAGATAAAACGGAAAACCCGGTGTAAAATCAGCACTCAAACGTTCCCAGAGGAACAGGAAACGGGCAGAAAACACCAGAAAAGCAAAGAAATGAAAACAGGAGAATAAAACCCCTGAAAAAAGTGACCCGGTCGGAGTCACTGAAGCAGCTGGCGGTGCTGCTTCAGCATGCTTTTGGTGCTGATGTTACTTCTGCCCCATTCCGCAAGCTGTCTCGTGCATTGTTTCACCTCCGGCCTGCCCGTGCGCCTCCTGAGCAGTCCTGGCCTTTGGACCGGGTGCTCTCTTTTCTCCTCTCTTCTCCTCGGTTTGTTGTGGCATTGACCTCTAGGGGGGTCAGTTCGGGGAGCTTCATGCTCTCCTCCGGTGCAGGGGTTTCTTCTTCTTCGGTCCTGGTGGTAGGTTTGTTCGGTTGCAGCCGTCTCCTTCTTTTCTGGCAAAGAATGAGACAACTGCATTCCGGAAGGGTCCTTGGGTCACATACTACACTACACAAAGAAATCACAATAGCGTGATACATTAGGGGATACACAAGGGGAGCCGGTCGGCCGAGCGGACAGCACGCTGGACTTGTGATCCTGTGGTCCCGGGTTCGATCCCGGGCGCCAGTGAGAAACAATGGGCAGAGTTTCTTTCACCCTATGCCCCTGTTACCTAACAGTAAAATAGGTACCTGGGTGTTAGTCAGCTGTCACGGGCTGCTTCCTGGGGGTGGAGGCCTGGTCGAGGACTGGGCCGTGGGGACACTAAAAAACCAGCGTTGAATGTAATGAAACGCCATTTTCTGGGTGAGTCCCGGAGGCTCCCCGGAGCTATCCCAGGCTGATATGCTAATGTCAGACTTTGGCATCAGTCATGTGTAATTACCTAAGTGTAATTACCTAAGTGTAGTTACAGGATGAGAGCTACGCTTGTGGTGTCCCGTCTTCCCAGCACTCTTTGTCATATAACGCTTTGAAACTACTGACGGTCTTGGCCTCCACCACCTTCTCACTTAACTTGTTCCAACCGTCTACCACTCTATTTGCGAAGGTGAATTTTCTTATATTTCTTCGGCATCTGTGTTTAGCTAGTTTAAATCTATGACCTCTTGTT